GTAGTATAGATAGTATAGATAATAGCTGCCTTATTATGTCATATGCCTGAACTCTAATTCATTTCTTTTAATATTGTTGTATTACGTACACTTTTTGAGAATTTATTTATTTATTATTAATTATTATTATTATTTTTTTGGTTCAAAATTTGCAAATTGATATATCTGTATTAGAATGTTTGTATACCTTTAGAATTGGGTTATGGACAATGATTTTAGTTTTGACTATATTATGATTTGAAAGTCTGTTTTGACATCACAGTTGGATACAAATAAAAAAAAAAAAAATCTCTCTTTGGTTGATGACTAGTGAAAGGTGTGGGGAATTGTACGGGTCTTTGATTGCAAAGAAAGCATATATAATAATGTTGGGCATTGTCAAGCTGAAGTAGCACAAGAAGTTAATTTCTCTCATATTGAAATTTGAAGAAGTTTTGCACCAAATTGGTGAAAGTTGAAACACCCTGTGCTAATTCAAAGGGCATTGTCGTAAATTTTGTTCTAAGGGTTGTAGTGCCTAAATATAATTGTTAGCCTCCGTTCAAGACCAAAAAGAATAGAATTACTAAGCTATGTTAGCACTTCGCAAGAAAATAAAAAATAAATTACATTAGTAGTCCTTGCATTTTGCCTCTTATGCCATTTTGGTTCCTATAATTTTTGTTAGCTCAATTTTGACCCCCAATTTTAGATTTTTTGAGAATTTAGTTCGATTGATAATGCCAATTAGGGTTTTTTTTTTTTTAAAAAAAAAGTCACCGAGTTGGTTTTAGTCAACCCACTGAGTTAAACAAGTTCACAATTTTTGCCTACAAAAGTATAACACATGGCACTTATGTGCACATTTTCCATCGAAAAAATGCTAGCAATTGTAATCAATTTGACCAAATGAAGATAAAATTATAAATTTAGGGTCAAAATTGAGCCAATTGAAATTAGGAGTAAAATGACACAAAGCAAAAATACAAGGACTATCGGTGTAATTTGCCCCAAAAAAGAAAAAAAGAAGATATCTTGTTCAAGAATGGGAAACCCCTTTTGGTTGTGTTTTGTGTATATTAGCATTGATGCTTTATTTTTGGACTTTGGCATTTTTTGAATTAGAATGAACGCACTGCTTATTTATTTTAATTTGAAGAACATTTTAGTAGCAAATTTTTCTTGTTTTTCTATTTAGAAATATCTGGAGCATTATTCGTTTATCCTAGAAGATATAGGCACTGACTGGCCTGATTTTCCGTTTCCTTAAAACAAATTGAAGTTGAAACTGCAACAAACAATGCTGTATCATAACTATTTGATTGGAGGAGCATAAAAGCACATTGTATTTATATTATTGTGTTTAAGAAAAAAAAATCATGGAAGCTCGACCATTAGAATGATATCCGTGAGCGTACACACAAAAAAAAAAAAAAAGAAAAAAAAATTATGTACATGACATTAAACCTCAACGTGAATTATTTTCCATTTTGTATTCAAAAAATCCCAGAGCATGCTTGTACACTTGGCACACAATCAATGCTTTCTTGTGATGGTTTGTATTGACATAGGAGGAGGCTTTGCCGGACTATTGCATACAAGCTGGAAACAGGCAGCCAAGCATGAGATTGCGGTTCATGGCTGAGACACATGGACTCTTCTATTTCCTTCCATCTGTGTTCACCGGATATAACAAGGGTCAAGGTATGGAATATACATTCAACACCCATAACCAATGTAGATGTTTGAACCCTTTAATTTATTACAATGTATGAAGAAGAAATTTACATTCGCTAGTTTAAAAAAATGTTTCTAGCCTCTCACATGCATGAGGTAAAGAAATTTTATATTTTTTTCTAAAATTATACTATTTAATTTGTAGTACATTTTTATATGATTTACAACATTTTTGAGAATATTATACCATATGAAATGTGTCCATGACACGTCTCCATACCCAAATTTCAATATTCTAAGATTTAAGTTTGGGACAAATTACGATGGTAGTCCTTGTACTTTATCCCTTGTGTCATTTTAATCTCTGTATTTTCAATTGGCTCGATTTTGATTATAAATTTATGATTTTGTCTTAATTTGGTCCAATTGATTATAGTTTTTAGCATTTTTTTTTAATAGAAAATACGCACATAAGTGTCACATGCCATACTTTTAAAGGCAAAATTATAAACTTACTCAACTCACTTAAACTCAACCAATTTAGTGTCAATTTTCCTTAAAAAATACTAACAATATTATTAATTGGACCAAATTAAAACAAAATCTAAAATCAAAGGGCAAAATTGAGTCAATTGAAAGTATATGGATCAAAATGACACGAGGTAAAATATAGGCACCACTGGTGTAATTTGCCCTTAAGTTTATAAAGGTCACTTGTATCGTTTTTATTCGATACTTGTATCCAAGTCTGTTAGTAATGGGCGCCCATGTGGCATGACCATTAAATTTGAATTTGAATCCTTATCCAAATAGGTTTTGAATTTGAAATCAAACCTATTTAGGATAACCACTCAAGAAACAGATGTTATCAGTTTTAAACTGATATGGATAGATATTATAATATAAAGAGAGAAACACACAGAGTTTCCCAATGCCTACGTCCACAGGCAGCGGAATTCTATATATTTGGAGAGATTACAATTCACTCGTGTTTCCTCACCACTCTCTTCTTCTTCAAATTCGATGTTTGCAAACAAAATATATTTCATTACCTATCTATTTATAGGTTTCTCCCATGGATGAGATGCGCAACCGGTGATGCCAAAACATCGCATTTCAGACACGTTAAGGTGCCTCCATTGTTGACCTTCAGGAGCTTTAATTCAAAATGGTTTTCTTCAGCTGCTTCTGGATCATCCAAGAGCTTTCATTTTGATCCTTCGAGTCTTCTACAAGGAGAGAAGCCAATCTTCTTTTTTGTTCTTCTTTCTTGATAGAGAAGTTGAAGCCAACTTCCTCACAAATAGGTGTTGAACTTGATGCATTGTAATGAGATGTAGGGTGTGGATTTCCCATCTCGAGCTGGGGGTATTTTTGCAGTTATTTATTTGTTTAAAGGGTAAATTAGATTGTTTGTCCCTCTTGCTTGAGCAAAATTTTATTTTGATCATCGTTTTAATTTGAATATCCATATGTTTTTAGTTTTGTTGTGTAGTGTGGTTCATTTGTTATTTATTGCTAGAGTTTTCGATGGAAAAAGAATGTGCGCAATTCACAAGAGATTTTTATCAATTTCTCATGAGAAAAGAAATAATAAATTACACTGGTGGTCCTATAGTTTATTTTGAATTTTACTTTGGTCTTTCTAGTTTTCTACGTGTTGTTTTTCCATTCAAAATGTTAACGACGTATGATGGAGAGATAACATTACAATAAAATTAAAAGTATTAAGGTTCAAATTATAAGTACTTGTTTTAAAATGATACTTTACTTAAATTACGAGACTAATAATGTAATTTACCTATGTTTAAACTGGAATGACAAGGCTCCCTCCAGCAGGTGGGTTGCCTTCGACAGTATTTTTGCTGACCCAACAAACCATTCTCAAAAATACAAACCATTCTTTGTGTTGAGTCCTTGCTAGTCACATTTTGTTTTGGAAAAAATTACCTCATTAGGCCTTCCATGTTGAGTGAATTTTTACTGTGATCTTTATAGTTTTAATAATTTGAATTCTATACTTTAATTTTGTTGCAATGTGAAAGTATAAGAATGATATGATTCATTGTGATATTAGTTATGATTAGAATTTAAGTTAAAAGATTAGAAACCAAGTTTAAAAATTATAGTACAGGAGGGGTAAAATATTCCAACCTTAAACTATAAGGTAGTAAAACAAATTTTGCCAAAATGCTACTAAATGATCTCTACGACTCCCCAAGACAAATAACTACTTTAATTAAATATATACTTTTAATTATTTTGCATATAGAAAAACTCAATTGTTCAAGTTTGGTCGGTTTAAATAACAAGTCAATCTCGAATGAATTTTTAATAAATTGAACGTAAGTTGAGTTTGAGTCCTTGTTTGGTTTAGATTGATTTTTTGAAAATTAATTTTTTTTAGTGAATTTTTTTAATATTTTAAGTAAATTTTTTACTTTCTAGATACATAACTTAGATGCACCTAAAAATGAAATTATTTGTGAAAAAATATTTTAAAAATTCAATAAATACACAATAATATAAAAAAAAAATTTGTATTTTTTTTTTATATTTGATGAATTTTTTAAAAGACTTTTTTTCATAAATATACTTTTAAGTGTATCTAGGTTATAGCATCTCCAGCGCTTCATCAAATTTGAGTAAAAATTTGATGAAAAGTTTGATATGAAGCACTCCAATGGTAAATTTAAAATTTTTATCAAATCTTGTTAGAAGCCTGGTTGTCTGATAGGATGTTCGAACCGACGTCCAGCCATGTGTAAAAATTGGTGTTAAGATAAAGAAAGCCCGGTTGTCTGGGAGGATGTTCGGGCAGACATCCGACCAAATAGCCACTTACAAAATTTGATGAAATGATAAAACTTCATGATTCGATGAAAAATTTAACTCTCCCTTATTTGATATCGATTTGATGAAACGGCTAGAGCTGGATTTTAACACGTTTTTTGTCAAATTTGAATTTGATGAAGAATTGGAGATGGCCTTAGGTGCAATTAAAAAAAATTTTAAAAAAATAAAATAAATTTTATGGAAGGTGATTTTTTTGGGAAACTAAAGGGGGAGTTGTTTGATATTATACTTCATAAAAAAAATTAAAAATAAAAAAAGGTTTATTTTCAAAATTTTACTTGTCTATTTTTTTTAAAGATAAATATAATGAAATCATATATCTATAAATATTGAATTAATATGATATTTTCATAAATAATCTACACACAAAATCTTACAAAATAAATGTTTAAATTTTCAAAGTGAGTTTCGTGGTGAACTCCACGACCTCCCAATGATACTCTCCAATCGACATAGTGCACTAAAAATATGAATGAAGAAATGAAACCTTACGTCCCCCGAGTTGCATGACACTTTAAGCAAAACAACTTCTTGCGCAATTCACATATTTTAGTAAAAATATTGGTATTTTTATCTCCGAAGGTGATATGTTTGGATCTAGATTTCTGGAACCAGAGCATTTCTTCTTGTAACAACATCTCATTGTAATCCTTAATAAGCATGTGTTCAAGATTTTGAAGACTGTGGGTAAAATTTTCAGCAAGAGCATTTTGGGTACCCTCAATTCTAGCAAGGAGTCTCCTTTTGCGTTTAAAAATGCTCCCAAAAACCTCCTTATTCCATTCAGTGACTTTATTAGTAAAGTCAGCAGTAGAGTCAAGGAGGTGATTGTTCATATTATGCCAAGAAGATTTAATAACATTAATAAGGTCAGGATGAGACATCCAAGCGGCCTCGAATCGGAAAGGCCTATTACGAGGGTTTAAAGTGTGCATACCTTGTGTGTAGACAACAAGAGGGGAGTGATCAGAGTAAGTTCTAGGGAGAACTCTAACTGTGGCTTCGGGAAACATGGTCCTCCATTTCGCATTGCATAGTGCTCGGTCAAGTCTCTCCATGGTGTTAGCTAACCCTTGCCTATTGTTTGTCCACGTCATACGAGGTCTAGAGCTGCCCAAGTCAATGAGATTATAGTGATTCACTCGATCAAGGAATTTTTGAGTTCTACTAGTATTGTGGTTAGCAGAGAAACTCCTTCTTTCTCTTTGATTTGCATAGTCATTAAAGTCCCTAGCAACCAGCCAAGGCTGTTGCATGCTATCCGCTACATCTTCAAGGTCTTGCCATAGCTATTCTCTAATGTTGGGGTTGGGGTTGGCATAAACAGCAACCAGTACCCATTCCTCATAGTCCTCCTTGTGGACAGTAGCATGAATGACTTGTGGACTAACTGTAGATGCTCTAACGTTCACTTGGCTGGTATCCCAAACAATCCATATTCCCCCCACTCTGCCCACAGGATCAATTGTTGATAAGGCTGTGAATCCTAGGCGATTAAAGAACTCACTCATAGTGTTGAAGGCCACCTTAGTTTCCATTAGGACAAGAATCTCTGGTTTATGTATCCTAATAATTTCCACAAGATTACGCTTGAATTTGTTATTGCCGGCACCGCGACAATTCCAAAATAGAAGACGAATTAAATCCATAGAAGGGAATGTTGGTGAGTTATTACCTTCATTATCTACGATACTACATATTCTCTGATGATTGTCCTCCGTTGATCTGAGGGAGGCCATCTGCACTGAGAGGAGTGGGTGTGGTCGGTTGTCCCCCCAACTTGGCTCGATGATCAACTGAAGTTGTTCTATCCACCAGGCGAAAGCGACTAGGTGAAGAGCTTCGTTCCCTGGTTCTAACAACAGCCCCACCGAGCTGGTCTATCTTAGGTGTTCTTCTACATTTGGCCTCTGAGCCTCTGAATTCATATCTCCTTCCTTCTCCATTGTTTTGTTCACCTGGGTTAGGAGGTTCTCTTTCTTGTAACAATGGATCGGTGGGTATAGGTGTGAAACTAATAATTGAGTTAGTGATACCTAAGATGGAGTTTTTGAAGTTTATTTGAATATCTTTATCTATGGGTGTAGTCAAGTCCTCTTATTGTGTGTGAGTATCTAAGACACATAGCATGTCAATCACTCCAAAATGTTGTTGGTTCTCACTAGTGGAATTGTCAATTTCAATGTACTTAGGGTCTCGGATTTCTACAACAGATTCCTTCACTTGCTTCAATGTACTAGCACCAGTTGGTGTGTCCATGGGTTGGTGTTGGGTTAGTTGGTTTTTCCCTTTGGTTGAGGTTAAGTCCTGGTCCAGTTTGCTTTTATCTGTGGGTTTCTGGGTCTGGTTTGGATTCATTTGGGTTGTGTGGTTACTCATGGCCTTCTCGGCTCCTACTCTGGTGTGCTTATGGCCCTGCTACTGTTCTCTCTGTCCCTCCTGAATATCTTCCAAATATTTGAATTTATTGGGCTTAGTTGCTGGGCCAGGTGTTTCTTGAGCTTTCTTGGGCTGAACAGGTCTTCTACCCCTCTTAGTTACCAACATCCAAGGCCCAAATTCCTCTTCCATAGCCTTCTGAGGTTGCAGGTTACCGTTGGTATTAGCAATTGGTGTATCGTAGCTTTCCGCACCGGTAACGACTACCTTTTTCCCCATTTGTGGTTTGAATCTGCATCTTTCCGATGATCAATACGTCCACAAAGGAAACAGAAAGAATGAAGGGATTCATACTCTATATTATAGCATTTCTTTTCCAGAACAAATTTGGGAATTAGTGGTTTAGTGAGGTCCATTTCTACACATATTCTTGCAAACTTACCTTTGGTTGCCATTGCAGTTGTCCAATCGATCTTCAAGGGTTTGCCAATGGTTTTGGCAATTGCAAATAGGACTTTATCCTGGTAGTATTCTATTGGAAGTTCCGAAAATCGAACCCAAATTGCGGTTGTGGTTTCAAAAGCTTTCGAAGGCTTGAAGTTTGGTTTCCATTTTCTTACTGTTAGGTAGTGATCCATGATCACCCAGGGACCACCAGTGTACACTTTAGTATAGTCTTACTTGGTGAGCCCCAACCAAAGTAGTTTTATTCTGGGAAGGAATACTATTGACAACATCATCATTACCTAGGAGATTCTACACACTTTGAGGCATAAAAAGGTAAGGAGGGAGGTATGATTTTTCAAATCGATTTAGAGAAAGCCTATGATCGTCTATCTTGGGAGTTTATTAGAGACACACTTGTGGAGTTTAATATGAATGATGATTGGATAAACCTTATCATGAGCTGTGTCACTAACAGCAAATCTGCTGTCCTTTAGAATGGAGAGATGCTAGAAGGAATTAAGAATGAGAGAGGCTTAAGACAAGGTGACCCACTTTCCCCTTACCTCTTTGTTCTTTGCATGGAAAGGCTTTCTAATATGATTAATTCCAAGGTGGATAGTGGCCAGTGGAAAGGGATCAAAGTAGCTCGTAACAGCCCACCCATCTCTCATTTATTCTTTGCTGATGATCTTATTTTATTTGCCAAGGTAGACCTCTCCAACTGTGAAACTATAATGAAAGTGCTGATTGAATTCTGTGCAGTCTCTGGGCAAAAAATTAATCACTCTAAGTCCAAACTTTTTGTTTCCCCCAATTTAGCCTGCAACAAAGCCCTATCCCTAAGTTTCTATAGTGGCATCCCTTTAACTCAAACCCTTGGCAAATATTTGGGCTCTCCTATGATCCATGGTAGAGTCAATAAAAATATGTTTAGGGAAACTTTGGAGAAATTAAAAACTAGGCTGTCAGGTTAGAAGGCTAGAACCCTCTCCCTAGCTGGTAGAACCACACTTATTCAAGCTATCACTTCTGCTATACCTAGTTATAATATGTAGACCATGGAAATTCCTAGAAGAGTTTGTGATGAAATGGATAAACTCAATAGAAATTTCCTATGTCCAAAAAGAAAGTTCACCTGGTTAATTAGGAGAATGTTTGTAAAAGTAAGGCTGAAGGAGGGCTAGGACTTAGAAAAGCTAGGGACCAGAATGCTGCTTTATTAACTAAACTTGGGTGGAAAATGCTGAGTGACCAGGACAAATTATGGTGTAAAGTTATGCATTCCAAGTATCTGAGAAGGCATTCCATCTTTAATTGGCCCATCAAGAGGAGTTCTTCATATACTTGGAACAGCATATACAGAATGAGAGATCATTTGAAGAAGGGACTAAAATGGAATGTGGGAAATTATAGCGATCCCGGTTTTCCCTTTATTCTTATTGTATTCTGGACTCGGTTCCGTGAATGATTGTTGTTGTCTGTATCGCGTTTTCGTCCTTTAATTCTTTGTATTTGAGTTTTGGGATGTGTTGGGCAGGTTTGAAACAGGTTGGTTGTGTTTAGAAACAATTAGCTTCTGCCTAGATTTTGGCCTTCATGCTCAAGCGGGGATTCTCACGCTCGAGCGGGCCCTTTTGCATTTTCCCCACCGCTCGAGCGGGCAGTCTGACGCTCGAGCGTGATTCTTCAGTCTTCAGTATTTTTTTCCTGCAGGTCGTCGAACGCTCGAGCGTCCACTTTCACACTCGAGCGGGGACCTTCGTTTGCAGAACTTCTGGAAGTGTGCATTCCACGCTCGAGTGGCACCTTTCATGCTCGAGCGGGAGTCTATGTCTGACGCTCGAGCAGGGCGTTCCACGCTCGAGCGGACTGTAATGTATATCAGTCCGAGATGAAGCTTTTGAAATCACTTTTTTGGCCCTCTCTCTCTCTAAAGTACTCAAAAACCCTAATTTGAGAGCCTCTCTCTCTAGAATACTCTCTCTCTCTACATTTTGATCTTGATTTAGTGAGACCCAACCTTTGTGCCTTCATTAAAGTGTTAGAGCTTTTCTAGACCTCCATTTCTATCCAAACAAAAGTTGATTTCGCCACCTTTGGGAGTTCACCTCTTGCTTGGTTCATCCTCTCTCTTGAGCTCCGAAACTTGAGGTAGGGATAACCTACTCCATTCTATGAGTTTTGACATAAATGTTTGGTATTTTGTATAAATGGTGAGTTATGGAAATTTTGGGAAGTTAGGGTTTTGAAATTGAAATTATAAAAGAGGGTTTTTCTGTTTTAAAGCTCCATGTGCATATGAGGCCTTGGGAATAAGGGTTTGTGGGTTGAATTGAGGGAATTTGGTCTTAGAATCAATATTTGACAAAAGGGAGAAAAGCCCTAATTGAAATTAAATAATTAATTTGTATAATTAATTTGGGAAAATATGAAATTGATTAATTACGTTTGTATAACGTAGGTGATTGAAGTGTTGAAGTATTAATGTTATGAGTTGTAGTCTCATTTGAATTGATTATGATTGAAATGCTGATAGTATGAGTTGTAGTCTCATCTTGAACTGTTCGAATAAACAATGGACCATATCTATGAATTGAATTGGATAACGAAACGGAATGTGGTTGTGAATATAAATTGGTTATGGAGGAGATGTACGGTGGTTTATATGAGTTGAACATTTATCAAATGCTAATATTTTAGTTATTACTCCTATTTGGTTTAGCGTATTTCTACTGGGCTTTGGCTCACCCTATATAGGGCATCATTTTCAGGTACAGGTGATATGCCACCTCGAAGGACGTAGCTTGGGAGGCTTAGAGGCTGAAAGATCTTTTTGTTGTTATCTTTTTATATTACATGTAAATCAAGCCAAGGGCTTATTTTGTATAAGAGTTAGAACTCTTCTTTTGTTGTAACCAAGTGTTGACTTGGAAAGTTGTAAGCCTGTAAGGCATTTACTTTTGTTGTCAACATGTGATACTTTTGTATGAAATACTCTGATAAATAGAAACATGTTTTATTCTCTTACGTCTATGGATGCCACGAATGTTGGGTTTATATGTATTATTTTGAGGGCGTTACAACTTAGTATCAGAGCGTACCGGGTTTGAATTCTTTGGGTACGTGGGAAGTGGTTAGTACCACAATGGGTTTGTCTCGCTTGTTTGAGACTTATGTATGATGTTATGTGCTTATGTGATAACATGTTTACGTGACTAAGTGGGTATGGAATTTAGTTTCTAGGATGTTGATTGGATCCTTGGGTTTCTGGGAGTCCTGTTGGAAAAGCATTTGATCGATGTTATTTCTAACTGGAACTCTAGCAACGCCACGGGACGGTCATTATCCGGAAATGAAATTCGTAAGTACTTATGTGATTATGTGCTTACGTGGAGTGAATTACAGTTGTTCATTGTGTCAGGACGTGAGT